TCCTCCTCCTCCTCCTCCTCCTCCTCCTCCTCTTCCTCCTCCTTCTCTTTCTTGTTTTTGAAATAGGGTTTCTCTGGGTAGTTTTGGAGGCTGTCCTGGCACTTACTCTGTAGACCAGGCTGGCCTTAGGGTTTCTCTGTGGCTTTGGAGGCTGTCCTGGAACTAGCTCTTGGGAGACCAGGCTGGTCGTGAACTCACAGAGATCCATCTGCCTCTGCCTCCTGAGTACTGGGATTAAAGGCATGCACCACCACAACACTGCTATTTGTTACTTTTTAATTGTTGTGATAAAATGCTCTGACAAAAGAACTAAGAAGCTGGAGAGATGGTTCCCTGGTTAAGAGAACTTGCTGCCTTTCCAGAGGACTTGAGTTCAGTTCCCAACACCCACATCGGGTAGCTCACAACCACCAGTAACTCCAGCTGCAGGGGATCTGTTTCTCTCTCAAGTACATACACATACATATATACAATTTTAACATAAAAAAATAAAAATAGTTGGACAGTGGTGGCAGTCTTTAATCCCAGCACTCGGGAGGCAGAGGCAGGGTGATCTCTGAGTTCAAAGCCAGCCTGGTCTACAGAGTGAGTTCTAGGACAGCCAGGGCTACACAGAGAAATCCTGTCTCAAAAAACCAAAAATAAGTAAATAAAAATAATAAAAATAAAATTGTTACTTACAATAACAATCTTCAAAAAAATATAGGTAGGACTTAATTGGCCATCTGGGTTTAGTCAACACACAGGACAAAAAGATCAACAACATTCTTGGGAGAATGAAGTCACATTCTTTCATTCTTTTACCTATCTATTACTCTAGTTACTATCCACTGAGTCCTTTCCATCTTATGCCTGGTACTGCTTCACGCACTAGCTTATCCTCACAAAAATAACTGGAAGTTCTCAGCTCTCACTGAACTCACCTACCATTCCAACTACATCACCACTGTGGTCTAAGTTCTCATTTCATTTTATGAGACACTGTTTCACTATGTAGTCCAAGCTAGCTAGCCTCAGACTTGGAGTTTTCTTACTTCAGTCAAGGGCAGGATTACAGAAATGAGCAGCAAGCCTGGCTAGACTCCTTTTGTTACTGGCTACTTTATAAGAGGTAAACACAGAAGAAAAACACATACTCAACAGATGGGAAGAATGGTTTTAAACTCTTGAGCAAGGCTAGGGTACAGTTTAAAGGTAGAGAATGTATGGACATACATGAATCCCTGATTTCATGCCACCTCCAGTACCTCCCTGAAAACACATACACAAAAATTCTTTGTTTTTGTTTTTGGAGACAGGGTTTTTCTGTGTAACAGCTCTGGCTGTCCTGGAACTCACTAGACCAGGCTGGCCTCCAACTCACAGAGATCCACCTGCCTCTGCCTCTTTTATTTTATGTGCATTGGTGTAAAGGTATCAGGTCCCCTGGAACTGGAGTTACAGACAGTTGTGAGCTGACATGTGGTGCTGGGAATTGAACCTGGGTCCTTTGGAAGAACTAGTACTCTTAACCACTGAGCCATCTCTCCAGCCCCTACACAAAAATTCTTAAGCAATGTGGCCAGGGGTGGGAAAGAGCAGCTTTCAAGTGAGGCATGGTAGTAAGTGCCTGTAATCCTAGCACCCAAGAGGTGAAGGCCGGAGGATCAGGAGTTCAAAGACAGCCTTGGGTATAGACCAAGTTTGAGACTAGCCTGGGCTACAATGAGACCCTACCTCGATAGATAAATAAATAACAAAGAAAAAAAAAAAGCAGCCTTCAATATCAATCTAGCAGGGGCTGGAGAGAAGACTCAGTGGTTAAGAGTGTGTACTGTTCTTGCAGAGGACAGAGGTTCAATTCCCAGCACCCATGTGGTGGCTCAACTGTCTACAACTCCAGTTCCAAGGGATCCGACACACTCTTCTGGCTCCACCAGATCCAGACACAGATACACACATGTAGGTAAAACACCAGTGCACACAAAAATGGTCTTTAAAACTATTGGGGTGAAAAAAATCAATCTAGCAATGGTACCATGGACAGATTGGGAAGTGCATAGGGAAAAGCAGTGAATTATCAATTCCAGGCCAGCCTGGAACATGGCAAAATCCTGTCTCAAAGAAAGAAAACTGGGCATCAGAATGACTCAAGTGAGTAAAGGCACTTGCTTGCAAGTCTGGCAATCTGAGTTTGATCCCTGGGATCCATGTAAAGATGGAAGGAGAGACCTGACTCTAGAAAGCTGTCCTCCCACCTCCACACCTGTGCTAACACACACACACACACACACACACACACACACACACACCATAAACACACTCATGCATCCACAGTAATAGTAACAAATAAAAATAGAGAGAAAGCGAGGTCAGTTTGAGGACCAGTACAACAGCAACTGTAATTGCAATTACAGAAAAAGATTTGAAGACTAAAACCTGATGTAATGGCAGCTTCAGACCCAGAATAAAAGGGAAAAAGGAAGGTAACATTTGTCCTTGAGAGCTCTGAGAGCCAGGATCAGAAAGATGGCAGGACCACCTCCAGGAATAGAGACCATGTTGGTGGCAGTTATGGCTGTTGAAGTACTATGTGACCTCCAGATCATACTACAAGAACTTGATTTATCTTTATGGTACTGTGAATAGAACCCCAAGACCTTCTGCAAGTGCTCCAGAACTGAGAGACATCCCCAGGCCCCAAGAATACTGTTTTAGGGGCCAGTGAGATGGGTCAGTGGGAAAAGGCGCTTTCTGCCAAGTCTGAAGACCTGAGTCCAATCCTCAGGATCTACATAATGAGAAACAACATCACAAAGTTGTCCTTTGGCTTCCTCACACATACCTTGCCAACCCTAGAACCCATGGTAGAAGGAGGGAACTGATTTCACCCAAGTTGACATCTGACCTACACACACACACACACACACACACACACACACACACACACTAAATGAAATACCAGTGAGCAAACCCACGGCAGATACACTCCCAGTCCTCAAATGACATTATATAAGGAACCCCAACTGATATGTTCAAGTGATACTGTGGTTTTATAAACAATCAGAAAGGCACAGAACCCTTAAGCAAAGTCAACACACAACTTTCTTCACCAGACCACAAACCCAGGTTAGGAAACTGTGATGCTTGGAATGTGCACCTACCTCAGCCTCACCCAAGAGGAACCCGGAACAATTGGCTGGCACAATCTGTGTATCTAAGAGCCTTCATCTCTGTTTGCTGTCCTGAAAACTGACCCTGGGTGACCTTCAGTCATTGCATTGTGTGCTGTAAAGGTTACTGAGAGTTTGTGTGTATCTACCCGGTCCTGTGAACCTTTATACAGACCCAGTACGCAATACAATACACACTGTGAAGATCAAAGTCTTACAAGTTCATGGTGTTGTGAACATGAACCATCCCAGGAAGAGATGATGTGGAGACTGAACTCTGGGAAGGTCAGGCAGGGAAGGGTCACAACACTGAAGCTATGACCAGGGTACATAAAGTCAAATAACTCAATACCACCTCTAAGCTTCACTCACAAGCAACATGACGTGAGTTCCACCTTAGAAGGCACACCTTGTCTGTTATTCTTCCTGTTATATAATCAGGCAGACAAAGCCAAACTCAGATTATTGCCCTACCACAGCTATCTCCTGTCCACTATCAGAACAAATCACTGCCAAGGTACCATAGATTGCAGTGCCATCTAATTATCCTTTATCCTTCAAATGCCTTCTTTTCTTCCTTTTTCTTCCTTCTTTTTCTCCTTTTGTGAGACAGGGTCTTATGTAGTATAGGCTAGCCTCCAACTTATGATGTTGCTGAGAATAATCTCGAACTCCTAATCTGCCTACCTCCACCTCCTGGATTACAGACATGCTGGGAATGGAACCCAGGGCTTCATGCATACTAGGTAAACACTCTACCTACTGAGCCCCATCCCCAGTCAAACTGCTAAGTTTCTGCAAATCACATGTAGAATTCTCTTAGCTGTGTTATAAAGAAGATTAGATCTCAGAACCCCAGTATGTCAATCAAAATACAATTCTGAGATTGGTCTCCATTTAAGACATACCTTAAAACTGAAATCAGAGCTGGGGAAGTGGTGGTGGATGCCACTAATCCCAGCACTCAGGATCTCTGAGTTCAAGGTCAGCCTGGTCTACAGAGCAAGTTCCAGGATAGCCAGGGAAACACAGGGAAACCCTATCCTGAAAAACCAAAGAAAACAAAAAACTGAAATAAGTGGACAAGTAAGATCACTCATTGAGCAAAGGAAGTTGTCACCTGACAATAATAAACAGAAAATAAAATATCAGTTTATTAATAAGTATAATTTTGTGTTTTCATGCTCAGAGAATGAGTGAAATTTAAATTTTAAAAGGGTGAGAGGATGAGGGGTTTGGAGAGATAGCTCAACAATTAAAGGCACTTGTGCTCTTCTAAAGGCCCAAGCTTGGTTCCCAGAACCCATGCCAGGTAGCCCACAACCTGAATTCTAGTTCCAGGAGATTTGATGCCCTCTTCTGGCCACTTAGCATTTGATAGGCTAAAATAGAATTATGTTGAGTTCAAAACCAGCCTGGGCTATATAGTGAATTCCAGGCCAGCCTGGGTTACAGTGTAAGACTCCCCCCGCAAAAAAAAAAAAAAAAATCAAAGAGGGAAGTGAGAAGACTCAGTGGGTAAAGGCACCACAACTGATGACCTGAGTTTGATCCCTGGGTCCAACATGGTAGGAGGAGAAACTGACTCCTCCAAGTTGTCCTCTGGCATGGCACATAGGCCATGTACCGTGGCATATGCCCTCACCCCATAAATAAATGTAATTTTAAAAAATTGAACCAAAGAAACAAGGGATGGGGAGATACCTCAATTGGTAAAGTGCTTCAATTTCTAAAACTTAGCTTAAAAAAAATTTAAAAAGCCAGCATATTGGAATGAACTTGTAAATCCTAGTGCTGGGGAGGCAGACACAGGTGGATCCCTAGGACTCGTAGTTCAGTCATTCCAGCCAAAGCAGCCAACTTCAGGTCAATGAGAAACTGACTCCAAAAGACGCAATGGTACTAGCTGCCTAGAGCATGGCACAATTCCCCCGCCTCTCAAGGCAGCTCTTCTTGCATGCTCCACTGCAAACACTCAACACTACAAAGCACCTCACACCTGTCACCCCAGGGATAAACTTGGCTTATTCTGCCATTTGTATTTAGTTTTCTGTTTGTTTCTGTCCCCAGCAAGGTTCTCAAGAAGCTGAACCAGAGTCTACACAGACACACCCTGAGGGCCTTTGAAGTGTCATTCCATGGGGACCTAGGCCTGCCAAGAACAGCAAGAATCAACAAGCAACTTTCTACCTGGGCATGGCAGGGCACACCTAGAAGCCCATCACTCTTACGACTGAGGCAG